TTTTTTTTTGGCATTTTTATAGGTGTATATGCCAATGATGGTGATGTAAAGAAGTTTCTTGGTGAGAAATATGGAGCACTTTCTACTACTGAATTGAAGGGAAACAAACAGTTAGAGGAGGACCTCATGGAAAGTGATGTGCGCATGACTGTTAGGCTTCAAATAGTTTATGGAAAATTGAGCATTCGATCCGTGAGGAATGCTTTCGAGGAGTCTGTTGGTGGCAGATTAAAGAAGTTTGGGACTGAGGACAAAGAGTTGCTCCAAAGGTAAAATGCTGTTTTCACTCTATTACATCTCTACCTATTGCATTTTTATATTACACATTAAAGTACTTGGAAAATAGCTGTTCCTAGTATCTGCGAAGTTCTTATGTTACAAGTGTTCTTATTGAACACTACCCTCCATCCTAACTTCATCATGCATGGAAATGAATAAAGGTTTTGGATTAAACGTAGCTGTGGTAAGATTGCCCTTTTGAATGTAAGCCTGCCTACTCTTTACGTCTTATGTTGCCATTCTTCATTGACACGGATTTTGGCCTGCTGATAATTTTTGGTATTGTAAGATAACTAAAGAAATACATCAATAGGAAACTGAAACTTGTCTAATTCGCGATGGGAAATTTGGAATGCTTGTTTCATTTGTTTATAAGCCTAATATGGCCCTTCGTGTACAGATTCACTTCCCAGTTCAAAGACGAATACAAAATACCTCGGGGATCCATAATTGATCTGTCAAGGGAACAGGGCTACGTTCTTCGCACTACAAGTAAGATTATCATTTTCCAGTTATTTTTTTTTTTTGCAAATGCATCATTTTGTTCTTGATATAGTCACTCGTCTCTTTTTCTTTATCACAATAATACTGTCCAATAGTCCCTTAATTTATCTTACCAAACATGGTACTAAATGTGCACGCCTAATAAATCTTCTTAAATATTGTAATTCTTCATGTCATATCAACTATATAAATCAAGCTTTCATCTGCATTATGCAGTTGATGGAGTAGAGGTCGGAAGTATAGAGAGCAAACTCTTGTGTCGATCAATCCTAGATCTATACATCGGTAATGAACCATTTGATCGGAAAGCAAAAGAAGACGTCGAGCTCAACTTGGCTTCTCTCCTTGGAAAGTAGCTACGCACAATGCAGAAACCTTGTCATTTTGCATACGCTACCTTGTCATGATGCTATATCTAATCGTCCCCGGAAGTTAAAGTAGTGATTAAGAGTTATTTAATGCAGATGTAACTTTCTTATGCATGTGAAGTTTAATAAATTTGTTATATTTGGTAGCCATTGATTTAGAAGTACTACAACGCAGTTCCAATTCAATTATTTTTATCAAATTTGACACGTCCACAATTTTAAGTAGTGGTTATGACACGAATAGTATACAACACCGAACAATATCTGGATGAGATTAAAGAAGAAAAAAGAAGTTGATACTGTCATATCGCATACCAAATATGTCCTTATTTTTTATGTATATCGAACACTAGGAATACAAATAGACTGTGGAGCTCCATGTTTGTGGCCACGTTAATATACATCCAACAATGGCGAATACCCTAGTTTTAATGCACCTAAAATTCACATTATTGAATGACTCAATGCTGATGAAAAGTCACATGCCAAACACTTAATTTGCCTATTTGAATGTATAATAAAGCAGCAGATTGAAGATGAAGAAACTAACGAAGAACAAACTTCTACGATAGAATTATAACAAATTAGTCTAATGTGTACTTGTCATAATCAGATTAATAATAATCAAGATTTGTCGGGTGTCAATAATTACAAATTGGTATATTTGAAAAATACTAAGCCATTTGAGTTTCATTCACTTTACTGATGCGGTGATGCCAACCTCCATCCATTCCGAGTATTGTTGTTTCTTCCGACAAGGAGCTTTCCGATGCACTTATTTAATACTGTAATGAAATTATCAGTACTTGAGCTCTGACAGTTGGCCTGGGCACGTGCTTAAAATTGGCGGTACATTCCTTCCACAAGCTGGGGAGGATTTCTGGCTCGGTCCATTTGGAGAAGGCTCCGTGCTTTTTGAAACAGGAGAATTAGATGGAGATCCAACTGTTGAGGATCCTGCTGGATCGTTTACCGACTGTTGTCCTTGAAATGCTGAAGCTGAGTCTAAACCACTCTGGAAAGATATCTGTGTCTGGCCTTGAGAATTTCTAGGTTGTCGCTGGGGAATGTTTACGAGGCTAGAAGTAGCAGGTGCAGATGAAACTCCTGGAACCGTTGTTCTAGGCAAGTTGTGCCATGGAGTAGACAGGGATGAATTGTTCTGATGCACAGAAATTTGTGAGCTAACACGGTTGTTATTTGGGACACTGCTAGTAATAAAAGTACCAGGGACAAATGTTGGTTCCTTAATGTGACCAATCAGCTGCATTTGCTGCCTCTGAAGATGTATCAGTTGCTGCTGGGTCTGGCGCTGTCCTGAATTTAGTTCGTTAACAGAATCAAAATATGTGATTGCAGCTGAGGATGAAGGAATAGGTTGATTTCCAGCAACGGGTATAGGGAGAAAATTGACTGTTCGAGATGAACCATCAAAAACTGAAGTTCCCACGATAGATTTACCACTTCTCGGAGGCTTCCCCAATATAACTTTTTGTCGATCAACAGTATTATTTGAAGCAGGTGTAGTTTTTCCTTCTGGTACCTGCGAATTCTTAGGTTGTTGCACCATTTGGGCAGTAGGTGCCATCTGATACCCATACTGAGCCATGTCAGGAAGCATCTGGAAGATGGCAGAATTTTGTGCAATGGATGAGAAGTTAATTGCTGTAGTTGTAGAAGCATTTGAACCAAATGACAAGGAAAATGCTTGAGGGATGACGTCAACTCTACTGTTAGATCCCTGCTTCTGTGGATCACCATGTTTATTGCCTATTGCACCACCACTCATTTTCCCTGGAGGAAACAGGGCAAAATTCGTTGGAATTAAAAAGTTCGGGACATTATTTGTAGTCAGAGATTGAGATACTGCACTATCAGCAATTGCTCCACTACTTTTCCTACTGATATCAGTGTCAGACTTGCTAGATGAATGGGATGGCAGGTGTTGCTGCTTCTCTGGCTGATCTGAATGTACAGTTGGCACGAGAAAGCTATTGCCACTGATTTTTATGCCGGTTCGTTGATCACCATGTTGTGACTTGTGGGATGACACATCACTGGATGTGAGAGTATCTTGTGGAGCTGATTGGGCTAGAACGCGAGGATGGGACAACTGTGGCTGATTTTGAGGAAAACTGAATGGTGGCAAAGAATAATAACCGTTAAGAAAAGGCACAACTGGGGCCTGTGTTCCTCTAGGAGGAGGCATTTCAATGTTGGAACTGTATGGGGATGCTTCATTGGAGGGGAATTTCGAATGATCAAAGCTCAATACTGAGAGTCCCGAGGGAAAATTAGTAGACAAAGATGCATCGCCCATGATAGAAGCAGATTGAGGAGGTCCAGAACTATTATTCGTAGCTGCCACCGCTGCTTGACGATCACCACGTGGAAATATCAAAGCAGGGCCATGCTACATGTCAATGAAGATATTACCATAAATCTTCAAAATTGTTCTCTTTGTAATTGGGCAACTTAAAATAAGATTCATAAACTAATAAGAAAGTTATTGACAGTGCAACTTACCATCAAATTACCAGCATGGACTTGCCGTGGAGCTTGTTGAAGAACATGATTTCTACTCTGTGCAATATCCAAACTTGCAACAGTTTCCGTGCTTTTGTCTTTTCCATTGGTTCCTTTAGTTGTCAAATTCTGATCTCCTGGAAAGAAGTCTACTCGTGACTTGTTTTCAAGTATCAACTTCTGTGTTGGTTGCATAGAATTATGATTTGATGTCTTAGCTCCACATAAAGTAGGACCAGCTGCTCCAGACCACAGAGCTTTCTCAGTAAGTTGCTGATGATAACAAATGTTCCATGCAATACACTGATGTGTTGCGCATCTCCTTGGCTGAGGCTGTGAGAGTTTAAATGGAGGTAGCTGCACATTTTCATGTTCAACACAAATTAAAAAGGCAAATAATTTAAAGAAATCGAAAAACGAAAAAGTATCACGAGGTTGAAGGGAGAAAAATCATGTTGGAACAAGTAAAGTAATCACAAAAGGAAAGAAAAAAAGACACCTGAAATGCAGTTGAAGATCTGGCACTTCCATTTATGGGATTGTCTGTCCGCATTGAGGGCATAAGTCTGCAAATGAAATAACTTGTTGAGCAATGGGCTATGCCAACTGGAGAAATGATAGAGGACGTAATAGGTTTACCCCGAATGAGAAAGAACACCAGGCCAGCTACTCGTAGCAATTGAGAAAGCCAATGAAGAAGATTGCACTACAAAAAGGACAATCCAAATAGTTATTGAATTTAATTCTAGAAACACTGCAAAACATCTAGGTCATGCACTGGATTAGAAATTTCCGAAAGGATTTTACACTGAGTTTTCTGCTGCTTCCCACCCTGCTGCTGTGGTTTACTTGGGCCGCTGCTATCAATGTTTTGCGATTCTTGCTTAATACCAATTCTTCCCTTTTTTTTCTCTTCATGCATTGCAACTGCTGATGGATCATCCTAGTAAACAATCAAGGATTTTTCACTTCTTAATGAACAAGCGGAAAATATTTTCAGTCAAATTGCAAAAATAAAATCATAATCTAGGAAAAAGAGGCTACAGAGAGATTACGCACCATTTGAACATTATGGCTTGTACATTTATGATCGTACACTTTACAGATCAACCCATCTCTTTCAGGGGACGAAGGCAAGGGCGGAGGAGCCTATTAAAACGCAACCATCTTCAGAATACTCGCAATTAAAAACAAATCAAATTACCAAAAAAAGAAAAAAAAAGTTTAAACCCCTCCCACCATCAAATCAATCCCGAACTTGGTCTCTCGAGTAGTCTCCACCTCCATTGCCCTAGTCTTCCTGTTCAGACCGAGAAGAGAAATAGTTAAATTGTGTCATAAACATGGAATAAAAAGAAAAGGAGCAAAAAGAAGCAAAAGGGAAAGGAAACTTCAGGGATGCTCACGCTTTTGTCCCTGTCGAATCCATTGGTTCATCTTCATTGACTTTGGCACATGGTGATGATTCACTTTCTTTTCGATCCACCATTTCCTCTTTATTTACTACGCCATCAGAAATGGATTTTTGAGCTGCTGTGTTACTTGGAAATTTCTCCTTCATCGGCTCCATTCCGTCAATCATGATTGTTTTAGTATCCACTTCCATTGATTGCCCATTTTGAACGTGAAAAGAATCATCCCCAGCTTTTTCCCTCCTTAAGCCTGTATTCACCAAATTTTCAGCTAGATAAATTATGGAAATCTTGTAGAGGAAACAATTTAAAAACTAAATCAACCAAAAAAAATAATAAACTCACCATCATCTAGCAATGTGGTGAAAGATGAGCTTACGTCCCGAGACAAATCTGATGTCTGAGAAGATTTATCACCAGCATTGTTTTTGCAATCTGAATCAAGATTTTCTTGCTTTTTTGAGGATTGAGATTGCTTCAGCAGATCGAACAGAGCTTCGGCAACCTCTATCTCATCATCTTGAATCAATGAAGAATGCCTGGAATTGGAAAAACTTTTCGGAATGCAAATTTTAGGGCCGGATGAGTTCTGCAAAATTATCAAAAAGAAATCTCACCCAGTTAATTTCATTAAATGAAACTTGAGATGTTAATACTGAATTCTGAGGACCAAAATAATTCTCATGAAAAAGTAAAATCCATACAGAAAAGTTGAGTGTCTTCTCCTTCGAACAAACACCCGAAGACGAAGGAGCGACAGTGTCACCACCCTTCGGATTCGCTGCCGCCGATGAAAGTCTCCGGTAACTTAGGTCTTCCTCGGATCCCCCACTCTCTGAATTGCAGTACTCGTGCAACCTTTTTGTCGAAGCTGAAAAAAGCAAATCAATTGATTATGACCAGATTAAATTTAAATAATACATAAATATTCAATCGAACAATTTCATTAATAGCAATAAGTTTCAAGCATCCTCAATAATATACCAGAGCGAGTTCTTCTAGGAATTGGAACACCGATAATCTCATCGGAGACCGTCCTCAGTGCCGGCGATGACCGTAAGGTACGAAGCCTCCGCCGCTGACTCTGACTATTGTACGGTGGCCCCAGTCGATCCATCTGATTAAGACGACGAATTCTTCCATTCTCTTCCTCCTCGTAGTCTTCCTCACAACTGTCATCCTTGCAATCCGCATCTCCACCTCCAGTCTCCACCTCTCTGTTACTTCCACCAGCTCTCCCATGGTGTATATCTCTCTCTACCCTTCTTCTCTTTGAAACCTCTCGACTCGTATTCTTCTTCTGTGCTCGCCCTCTTTCCTGTAATTCCATTTCTCCATCTTCTTCTGCAAGCAACAAACAAATTAAAAAAAATAGAAAAATATCACAAAATTCTGAAATTAAAGGAACGTATCAATATATTATTTCCATTGATTTTTCTAACCGTGTGAATCACGGATGTTGTTGGTTTTGTGTCGTCTTTTCGATACCCCGTTGATAGCAGCCATGCTCACTCTCCTCAAATCTCTGTTTCTTTCCATAACTCTATAGGATTTCTTCTCCACCCGGCGAGAATTCACAGTCACCGCCGGATTAACACGATTTTCACCGGCGCGAAGGCTTTACCGGTCTGAATTTAGAAATGAAAAAATCTGAAAGTTTCTTTGCACTTTGTTTCTGCTCTATACCTTTTTTGGTGCTTTTCAACTCACGTGAAACCCACTCCAGAACGGGACTGGACGGCAACGATTTATCTATCACTTTGAAACTCAATCATCACCGTCAGATCTAATCATCAATCCAACGGCTGTAACCATCCGTGCCTACATGGCAAAACCGTCACTTTCTCATCTCCAAGAAATCATTTGCCACGTGGATAATTAATTATCTTTTTCTTTTAACAATTATAAAAAAATTTAATAATTAGAATAATGCTATTCATGCGCACGGTGCATGAAAAGAAAGAGAGAATCTCATTGTCAGAAGAAACTGATTAATTAGAAGAATAATATCTGCCTCTCTGGCAAAAACACTTGCGGGTCCCACTTTTCTAGATATAAAACATAAAATATCCTACGTGGCAGTGTCTTTTCATTTGAAGGGGCCTACATGGCGGCGGCGCAACCATCTGTAACGGAGAAGCGAGATCTGCGCCCTCCGTTAAGTGATAGATGGTGAAGCTTCCTCCGCCGGTCGGAGTGGGAAACAAGTTGAATGCCGATTTATCGTACGAGTTAAAAGGTATACTTGTCTTGTTAGTGTGTGTTTGTCTCCAATTATTGTAGAAGAAATAGATTAATGAATAATATTTTTTGAAGAATGTGTAGTTGAAATTTAAAGTAATTTTATTGGGTGAATGTGTGGTGGAGAGAATCTTACTGTAACAAATAATATTTTGAAATAATGAGAAACAAACGGGGCCTTAGATTTTAGACATTATTTTTTGAGATTTATGATTACTTGTCAATGTTGAACGTATGCGTCAAGTTATTATGAAATACTTTATAAGTGTTGTAAAAAAATGTGTTAATTAGCATACATAAATGTGAATAATGAAATACATTCTCGAATGTAAAATTCTAATTAACTTATAATTAAAATTAATAACACTGAAATGTATAAATGAATATGAATATTAATTAAATGAATATGAATGCTAATTAATTGAGATTTAATAATAAAAAAATTCATACATTAATGAAATCACATATGTGAAATGAATATGTCAAATATACGTGTACGTTGATGGCAACTAATTAGTTAAATAAATTAAACACATATTAAAAAATAAAAATAAAGATATTATTGAAATAATTGGATTATAGTAGGGCTAGAATCGTCCAAAAAATGATTCTCACTTAATGTGATATTTAATATATTATAAAATTCTAATTAACTTAAAATTAATAATACTGAAATGTATAAATAAATATGAATGCTAATTAATTGAGATTTAATAATAAAAAAATTCATACATTAATGAAAGCACATAAATGAAATGAATCTGTCAAATATACATGTACGTTGATGGCAACTAATTAGTTAAATAAATTAAACACATATTAACAAATAAAAATAAAGATATTATTGAAATAATTGGATTATAGTAAGGCTGAAATCGTTCAAAAAATGATTCTCACTTAACGTGATATTTAATATTTATAGATTTATAGTTGGATAATTCTTGATATCAAAATATGTAAATTAGACTTCAATTGTATCTATGTTTACCAAAATATATGAACAGGTGAGTCTTGAAGTCTGATTCCATTACTTTTTAACTTTTATTTGGCTAGTTGCTACCTCTAAAGAAGCCTATGCACTTCAAACCAAATTCATAATATCACTTGTAAGCAAAGCATCAGAACTTGTGGCATAGTTTCAATGAGTAAAGATCAGAACTCAACTAATAGCTTTTTAATAATTGATCTTACATTTCACACAGTATGTGTTCGAATGGTTCAAAATCTCGACAAGTAGCTCTTGATCTTTAAATTAAAAAAACAGTGTCAATAAGACGTTTAAATGCCCTTTAAGGTTAAATTAGGGATCGACCATTCCCATCTCGCCCTATCGAATATTTTTGTCATCTTATCCCACTCCCAAATCCGATTAAAGTGGGTGGAATCGGGGAGAGGCAGATTTCTGTCCCATTTTTTTTTATTTTTACTTATCGAATATTATTATTNTTTAAATGTATATATATTATTCTTTTTCTATATTCATTGATTCAAATTAAATAAAATTCCATGTTCATGAATCAATTTGATTGTTTTCGTACAATTCAATTATTTATATGCGTGTATGTTTAATAATTGATATTCAATTAAATATATATTGAAAAACGAAAAGCAAGGTACCATTGAAATAATTAAATTGTAGTGGGCCTAAAATCGTCCAGAAAATGATTCTCACTTAATGTGATATTTAATATATTATAAAATTCTAATTAACTTAAAATTAATAACACTGAAATGTATAAATAAATATGAATGCTAATTAATTGAGATTTAATAATAAAAAAAATTCATACATTAATGAAAGCACATGTACGTTGATGGCAACTAATTAGTTAAATAAATTAAACACATATTAAAAAATAAAAATAAAGATATTATTGAAATAATTGGATTATAGTAAGGCTGAAATCGTTCAAAAAATGATTCTCACTTAATGTGATATTTAATATTTATAGATTTATAGTTGGATAATTCTTGATATCAAAATATGTAAATTAGACTTCAATTGTATCTATGTTTACCAAAATATATGAACAGGTGAGTCTTGAAGTCTAGCTCCCTTCTCCTTTTGCACTCAATTGCCATCTGATTCCATTACTTTTTAACTTTTATTTGGCTAGTTGCTACCTCTAAAGAAGCCTATGCACTTCAAACCAAATTCATAATATCACTTGTAAGCAAAGCATCAGAACTTGTGGCATAATTTCAATGAGTAAAGATCAGAACTCAACTAATAGCTTTTTAATAATTGTTCTAACATTTCACACAGTATGTGTTCGAATGGTTCAAAATCTCGACAAGTAGCTCTTGATCTTTAAATTAAAAAAACAGTGTCAATAAGACGTTTAAATGCCCTTTAAGGTTAAATTAGGGATGACAATGGGGGCAAATCGACCATTCCCATCTCGCCCTATCGAATATTTTTGTCATCTTATCCCACTCCCAAATCCGATTAAAGTGGGTGGAATCGGGGAGAGGCAGATTTCTATCCCATTTTTTATTAAAAATGAATAGCTTATAATAATAAATTTCAATTTGTTAAAAATAATTCATTCTCATTAAGATGATAATAAATATTTTCTTTAGTTCGATAATAAACTTAAATTTAAAATTAACTTTAAATGGACAAGTAACGGGATAGAATCTTGTCTTCCTTTCTTATCTCGTACCCGTTTTCAGGCAACGATCCTCGCCTCCCATTTACTCGATTAGGCGGGTAATCCTCATTCTATTCGAGACGAGACCGTGAATATTAGGTTGTCCCTAGATCAAATCACTAAGCTTGATTTGATTTTCATCCCAACTCAATGAGCTAGTCTTACAATTAAAGATCCCTTCTCCCTTTCCACTTGAGTATCAATCTATGTCATTATGAAACTTTTTGGGGACTGTACACGCATACAAATATATTATTTTTTGTAAAATATTATTTCTGTCTCTTTTTATTTTTCAATATATCAGTTTGTAGCATTTATTAGGTCAAACTTTAGGGTAGTGCGATCAAGACATGTCATCCTAGTCCGAAGTGTCTTGGTATGTTCAGGACTCAACATAACTCCGTCGAGCTAGAGTATCAAGACTCGAGAATCCTGCAAGTCCTTCCGCCCTGTACCCTTGGAGGCATAACTTGCGATTTATCTCCTTCACCAAGGACCAGGGCAAGACAAGTGGGGGCAGCTAATGATGCAGTTTATCCTTTGAAAAGTCAGTGAACCGATCCATTTTATCCTTTCACCCAATTTAATGAGGATTAAGAAGGAAATTAATATAGGAAATAGGAAAAGGTTCCTTACCTAGAGTGCAATCGGAGAGTACGAAGATATGTCATAATTTGCATGGGACAACACAAAACAATATATTACAAGAAAGTGATGTACACTTGAACTCTTCACAATAAAAAATAAATAAATAAAGTAAAAACGAACGTTGGGTGAAACTTAAATCAACCGAGACAAAACAATCTTCCAAACAATAGAAAATACTATGATTATATACTTAAAAACACGACATCGATGTAAAATTAGTTTACGGCGCTACAAATCCTTCTTATAATCCCATTTTGACCGGTAAGGGGTTCAATGTCTCCCATTTTGATCATGGCAGCAGCAAAGTCTGACGAGAAAGTACGAGGATTGTTGCTATATTGAGTCACAATAGTATCCGTTGATCCTCCACCGAAAAGAACTTGATCAGATTCTAACAAACCCCTCCTTTGGATTAAATTCTTGTAATAATTGTTGTCAAATGAATTGGGCGTCTCCAAATCGAGTGGTGATAAATTCCCGTCATTACCGCTTCTAGGGCATTGGCGTTGACGGGTGCTGGCGAAAGCAGCATCAATGTCGGTCCCATTGCTGTATATTCTATCACGGAATACTCGACATTGTGCCTGCCCAATTGTGTGTGCACCTGCATATCATCGAGGGTGACAAAGTATTTAGGTTATGTGCTAGTCGAATGCGCGTAAACTTAGATTTACAAAAGACAATTAGTATGACGTCATAGATTAAAACCTAATCCCTATTCATCGCCTTCATATTTAGGTTGACCTGCGTCTTTAATAGGTACAATATGATTATACTCCAGACACAGTACGTATTTTAATTTACCTGATAAAGCCACCATGTCTCTTTCATTAAGTCCTTTGCCACTGAAGGTGGATTTAAGTGTATCAAGGCTGTCCCTAAAGCTAGGAAGATTACTTTCTGCCAGTGATCGAGTTGCAGTTGTCGAATCTCTCCTCCCAAGCTTCACTGTCCATGAAGGACCACCCACCGCGACCGATGAATCACGAGCCGCCACCGCAAGGATGTCGGCGCAAGAAACAACTCCAGGGCATATATTCTCCACCGCGCTCTTCGCAGCGTCTATGACTTCGAAACCTCTTACCGAACCACTATTAGGCCCCGCCGTTTTCTCACTGGTAATGCCCGTGGCATCGTCTAACAGTATCGAAGCATCACATCCCTAAAAACGTGAGAAAAAAAATCATTTAAATATAGTATCTTCATCGCGCTCCCTGTTTTCAATTTTCAAAGTGTAAAATTATCATTAACCTGAACAAAGCAATCGTGAAAATGGAGACGAATGAGAGACGCAGCCATCCTACGCTCGTTCGACACGGCTTGTCTAATGGAAGTTCGGATCGTACTGAGCGCATTCGGACATGTGGTATCGTAAAACGTAGAAGACAATTGCGCTTGGCAAGAGATCATAAGGAGAAAAAATATAGCAGCAACAGCTGCGTAGATATTGACAGAATTCATCTAAAAAATATTATATATTCTTTAGAAAATTTATAACAAGATTAATATAAATGAAGAAATATGAGAATATTAGATGTTTTCGTATGACGTTTGTGAAAGTGTTGTAGCAAAATCCAGAATTTATAGTGCAATTCCGCGTTACAGCAATTGCCATGCATGAACATGACTATTTCGCTGCCTTTTTTTGAATTAAGGTTTAGTCCATTATTCTTCCTTTTTGCCGACGGAAGTAACATATTTCCACTGCAAACTATTTTTCCTCTCTTTTTATGCTTTCTGACTTTTTGTTCGTATAAAAAATTATGAATCTATCAGTCTATTCAAACTTTTAAACGAGATGGCTCGACTTGTTCATAGGAGTGCGTTTATGCTGCTAATACTTGTACTTGCCCTGCTATTCTGCCCTAAAAAGATAAAAGTCTGCCGCACATGATCGAATGGAAGATAATTTTGAATCCACTTTGTCTATGAACAAGGAATTAGAAAGAATAATCATATTGAGTTTATGGATTTCCCTAGTTCAGTTTATGGACCAATAAAGAATTTGTATCTTCGAAATCCAATGGAAGGGACAGTACAAGAGAAATCATAAAGAAATGATCGAATTTTGTGACGTTCTTGGATATACTACGAAGTGCTCGAAAATGGTTGAAGTAGTTTTATGACTTCACCTATCGATCTGGCCCGAATTGAGTATAAGAAAAATTTATAACTTTATAATTGTCGAAGTAAAAGATTATCATATAAATTAATTAATTATAATCAACTTTCTTAGAATATAATATTAAGTTATTACTCGTTGGTCCAACATGCATCCAGGCATATTATCAAAGGCTGCTAATTAACTAATATAAGACATAAAGTGAAGCACAAAATGTCAAGGGGGCAACCTAGGACTTTTCGTCTGGCCAATAAAATCGACAACAATGCAATAAATTAATAGTTAATTAATTCCACCCTCTTAATCTTGTCACGTTTGAACCAGTCACTATTTGTCAAAATTTTAAAAAACAAATTATATATTAATCTTGAAACCGATAGCATAATCACCCATTGGATTAAAGGATGAACTGCATCCTTGGCGGCCCCCACCGCCCTGCCATGGGCATTGGTGAAGAAGGTAAATCGCAGGTTATGCCTCCAAGGGTACATGATGGAAGGCTGTTTGTACACTTGCACTTATCCAGGGGCCAAATCCATATTTTAGGATTCGAACCCTTGACTCGACAGCCTCAAGCAAAGATGGAGTTTTCCACCTTCTCCTTTTACCACTTGGAGATGTGTCCTGGGGGCAATCACCCATTGGATTACGGATAAAGGAAGGTTGGTTTGGCATATTAGAGATCGTGAATTCTCACTTAATATAATAGTTATACGTTTGAAAAATCGGAATTTAAATCCAATCGGAATGATTTGCGGATTCGATTTTCTTACTTCAACTTGAAAATACGACACACACGTGAAATGATATGAATGTTTTTTGTCTCAAATGTCTTTATATTCTTGTTTTCGATGATAAACATGACTTGCTCAAAAAATTTAAAGTAGCAGTCTATATACAAAAGGAATCTTAAAAAGATTAATGTGACATAAATAAAGTTGAAAATTCAAACTTTTCAGAAGATAAACTTATAGTTTAATTTAATATAATAAATGAGCAAAGGTTCCGTTTGATTATCAGAAGCGAAAAATCACTTATAAGTAATAGTCAACTTCTAGATGTGAGAGATCCAATCCTGAAGACAAAAGCATAAATAAAAGAAACACGCCATCTTTGAAGGAAGTATTTGACATTGAGCCCGGCATTGTGAGTATTCTGGTGACTTTCTGGCAAAACTGTTTGACATTTACTTCTAGTTCGCAATATTAAATCGTACGAAAGTCAAGTCAATGGAGAGTTATCTAAAATTTATCTGTGCTCTGCCATTACAAAATGTGAAAAACAGAAGTTTCGAAACTGCACCCCTCCGGAGAAGAAAATAAATCAGAAATTTTTTCGATATTCGACATCGACATCTGTATCCGAAAATAAGATCTCCCACAAGAATCGAATTTGAATACAAAAGAAATTTTGTTAATGAAACTACTAAACAGTTTCCAATGATTTTAGTTGATCTTTTATGCTCAAAGAGGAAAGAAAAAATCAATAACTTAATTTCCTTTTTTAAAATTTATAATAGTCTAACATTATCTATCCCCTATTTGGTAGAAATTAAAATAATTTTTTTAGTAAATTTTGATTGTGGTTAAAAAATTGTGATTCCTATAAAACGTGTAGTTAAAATTAATTCTTGACTTTAAATTGAGATTTTAATCTAAGCCTAATTCAATTTAGTGGAGATGCTACAAGAGAGTATATATGGCTGTACTGTAACTTTTAATTGTTGTTATTATTCAAATAAGGTTTGATTATTACAAATAAATTAAACCAACCCAGAAGACCCATCCAATTCAACGAGTTGACTTGTACAAATTTCAACGTTGACGATTTCAATTATTCAAATGTCAAATGTACATTACACAGAAAAATATAACATTTTCATAGATTTTGTATGGCCCGAAAACCCAAAGAAATGCAAATATAATTAGGATTATGTTATGTGTACATAACTC